TGCAATTATTCTAATATCTTCTCGAGTAGATTTTTCTAACCGAGAGATCCACAGCAGCTGCTGATCGACGCTAGACGAGTGGAATTGTTATGCTTGTTTTTCACGTTGATATTAAGAATAATTCAAGAGCTACGTGCGAGGTATTGAAGTTTACGTGTCACTACGGTTACTTGTTGTTCATTCATTAATATTTATCGATGTGTCGAGTTCGATGTAGATTTGCAAAGTTTCAGTACAGAAGACGGCATTATTCTTTTCTTTGGTTCCTAAACATTGAAAATTCTTATAGATTCTGCATTATAATTGTAAAATATGGTTGTTACGAATTTTGCTTTAGACTATATGAGATTTTGATAGATATTTTTCACAGCAAAAAGCATACTTTTTCGAAACATTTAATCATGATTTTTGCATATTCTTTCGGCATCTCTTGTGGCGGATCCAGTGGTGGAAAATTGGTAAATATCTGAAGAAGTAAGAGAAACTCTCGGTTTTTACTGAATTCTTTCATCAGTAACTGATTTATTTTATAAGCTAGCTACTTTCCTTCAAGAGTAACAAATTAGTAAAAAGTTATCATTTAAGGCAAAGGTAAGCAAAACACGTTTACCGCTACTTTAGAATATAACGTACCCATTGAACAGTTTCTTGGTTTGTTAAAGCAGGGTACGGCATAGTTTTACAGCGAGAAAAAATCTCCCACATTAGTACACCAAAAGCCCACACATCAGTCTGAGTCGAAAGTTGCCGCTAAAAATAAACGTGATCAGGTTTTTATTACGTATAGGCTATGTTAAATACATTACGCTTCAACCAGCCCTTATGCCGCTCTATTTCTTATTTGGCAGCAAAACTATGCTAAGACATACTGGTATGGTAATTAAGTTCTTTGACTTCTGTTTATCAGTGTAGATCTTAGAATCAGATTTTAAGAGTAGAATGAAGATTTTTTGAGCAGGTTAACGACGCTGTGCTATTAAAACGACCAAGTTAACGTTGCTGAATACTTGATAAGGTAAACCTCTTACTCTGGTGAAAGCTTCTGGTGCCAGCCATTTTGTAGGAGTTTGTGTTACTGCCGAAAAGTTGAAATGTTTTTGACCAATTGTTGATAAACCAAAGTCACAGATTTTTAGTTGATTGTTGTTACCAAGCAGACAGTTTCTGGCTGCTATATCACCATGTATAACCTGCAATAACTGATGCTAGAAATAGGAAGCGAAACAGCCAAAAAAGATTTCACTGATTTCTAAACGTAATCTGCATTGAAAAAGTTGCCTTTGAAACTAATTCGGCAGCATTAACAGCAGGTATTTTATGTCATAATTATTTAAAAACCTTTTTCAAAAATAATGACGAGCAGAAGAAGAAACATAATATATAAGCTAACTTTCATAGAAGCCAAATAGTCTAAACCACTGGCTGCTTCATTGCAAAATCCTGATAACATTCTGACAGACACAAACTTTGCTGGTGTTTCCATTAAAAATTTGCTAAAATAGTTATTTACTTGAGCAGAACAGTTAGATCAAAAAACCAAACAAGCACTTCACTTGGTTTCCTTACTGATTTATTCAGTATATTTTAAAAAAATAACAATTCTTTAGTTCTCAATTTTGATTATTTTAAAAGTTTACACAAATATCCAGCAAAATTTTATATAAATAGCTTTTCTTGTATTTTACCGAATGTAGGTTTATACCTAACCAGTCACTGTATAATTAAAGTTATTTTGGAAATTTTTTTTACTTCAAGCTAATAAATTCAGGAGAACAGATGTTTTGTTTCCTTGACATGCAAACGATAAAGTAATATTGAAACATTATCGCAAAATTTCACATAAAACCACGTCTAACAGCTAATAACTGTGACAGATTTTCAAATGTTCTTTATTTTTAGAGAATAAACTTGTTCCAGCTGAAGTTTATACATACCGAAGCGATCCTCCTGGCGCATATTCAAGAATCAGTTGGTTAGGATTTGTGTCTACGACAAGACCATATGCAGAAAGAATATTCGGGTGCTGTAACTGCAGCATAATTTCAGCTTCCTAAAAAGCATTTATTTACTTATCAAACGAGCTTCAGGTCAGGAGCTTAGCATTGGAGTTGTAAATCAATCTAGCGGAAAATAGATGTAGTGACAAACTCTGAAGCTTTTCTTAAAAGTCCTTGTTAAGACTAAGCAAGTTGGTAAATTTTTAATTTGTTGGTATTAGCTTACAGAAATTTCTCAGAATTGTTTTTTGTGGATTAAAAATACAATAATCATGTTCATCAAAGGTTAACCTTAGCAAACTTTGTTCGTATTTCTTTCATATCAGCGGTTTCAAATGGTTCGCTGTTCACAACCTTTATCGCACACTCACAAAGTTTTTCATGCGTACGTAAAGCTCCATAATATACCTTACCAAACGCTCCTTCACCAATTACTTTATGTATCTAAAGCATTTACAACACTGATGTCGACGAAATTATTATGTACTTGTATGTAGTAATAAAACCAGTAAAAAAAATGATTGTTTTTAAAGGTTAGAATGAGTAGTTATTTCAAGATGACCGTAGAGAACTGTACCACTTCAGTAACAACTGGA